CACAATACCATTACTAAGAAGGAATCCTCCAGAATTTCAAGTTATCCACATGAGTATATCTTTAATTCGGTTATTATGGTAAGCCTAGTCTGGAGAAACAGCAAAGTATTTTATGCAATATTAAAAATATCAAGCAGTGATAAAAATTACAAAACAAATGTTGTTACAAAGTGAATAACACAAAAATAAGCTAATACATTTTCCCCTGACAAAACAACAATTAGGCTGTCTATAAAGATGCTTCAATACAACTGTCGTTCCATCTTACTTTGCTTTTAACCTTTCACCCCTCAAAATACTGGACGAAAAAAAAAACAGAAGCAACTTCAAAGAACAAGACAAACCGATGGGCTCAGAGTTTCCCCACTCTTGAATTTAAATACTTTTTGAGTTGCATTACTGCTCTGCAAGATCATAGCTTCTCTCAGAGTCCATGTGAATAGCCCCGTGGGGCTGTAGTAATCCACACCCATGCAAGATATGATCTACAGTACAGATAGAGAAGGGAGATGTGATTTTTAGAGTGATGTCTTCACTGAAAGCTGGGCTTGTAGACCAGAGATGCTTCTGGCTGCTTTGATTTTTGATGAGCGTGAAGACTAATGGAACATGTATTTAGAATCAGTAAGGCTGAATTTTAGCATGGTTGAGTGGTAAAGGCATACAAGCTGATATGCATTAGAAATAGTGAAATCAGATAATTAAAAATAGAGGGACAAAAGGGGGAAAATTACGTTTTCCAGACTTACAGAGCAGCCCTTTCAGTGGATTCACAATATAAAAAGATGTAAAATAAATAAATGGATCCACATACAGATGCTGTAGAATTAGATCAAATGCTTTGTATTTTATTGTAGGCAAAAGAAACACGTAGTCGCACCCTTTGCAACACACTGAGATTAATCATGCTTTTCAGGTCTGGCAGAAAACAAGAACAGGATAAAAAGACTGCTGCCATCAGAGTGGCACTCCCTGAATTTAACAAGGTAAACCTCCTGTTCAGCTGAAATAATAAAATTATCAAGGTCTAGGAAGCACAGGACAGAAAAAGCATAAATGATTTCCAACAGACTGAGGACTGCACCTCTGCACGTGTCTCAGAGCTATCATTTAACCAATTCAAACAGGAGAGTAGAGCTTGACCATCTCTCCATTGGGAACATCTCTCTCCACAGACCAAGCAAGATGCCCAGGCACATGGGTACCGGTCTTGCTCCAATTTTAGGAGGGAGAGGAGGTTCTTTGATACCTGTATACCCAGACTGAGATTAAGAAACTACGGTTCAAATGTTGGTCTGACCAGTTTATTACAAATCTTAATCAGGGAGATGGGGAAGGGGAGGATAGACAGTATTACGAATTAAGGTGATGGTGAAGGGAAGAAGGGCAATAGAAAAGATAGGAAAGAAGCAAGAAGTCTTTATAGGAAGCAAGATGGAGATAGTCACCACTATGGATCCAGCGTGGTTCATAGTTCAGTCACTGATCTTCAGTTGTGGTAAGTCACTGGGAGTTGCTGTTCCTATGACAACGATGATAACCACGGTGATGATGGTGACTTTTCAATGGTAGTTCCAACTCATTTACAAGTCCAAAGTGGTCGAGTCAGCTCTCTTGGAAGTGACAGCTCAAATCCAAAGTGGTTGAGTCAACTCTACTTCGAGTGGTAGCTTCTGGTTCTGGGATCTCAGCAGAAATTCCTTTGTTCCCATCTTCTGGGTCTTGCCAGCAGATAAGAGGAAGCAGGGAGGCACCAACTTCTATCTTGCCTTCAAAGGATATAATGGTATCACCCCCCAGTGTCCCATAGCAAACAGGAGTTATTTGGTCATAGGCTAGATCTTTTTGCCAGTAAACAGTCCTGAGCACTACCTTCCAAAGGCAAACGGCTCCAAAGGAAATGCTTTCAAATATAAAATTGTCACACAGTGATGTTGATTGCCACAAGGCAACACACCTATCACTCATCTCCTAGACAAGTCAGTCTTATCACAAGAAATACCACAGGAAGAAAGCTTAGAGCCACAAACAAAGGGATTCGTACAATACCATAGCCAGCCTACATAGCTTTGAAGGAATTATTTCCCCGTTTCACCGAGTATATGTCAGACCTGCAAAGACTTGCCAGTTCTTTGCAAGACCAGCAGATCTTGTCCTTTTACTACTACGCCAGCCTTCCTATCAGAGAACATGCATCCCCTTACTCAGGGACAGGAGCAGCCATACTAGGCAGCCAAGCTAAAGCAATCTGTTGCCTAAGTTGTAACATTAACTGCTGAAAGTATGACACTACCCTTGAACGTGAGGAACGAGATTATAGCTAAATTAACTAGAACCAAAGAGACAGTACAATGCACACAGCAATAGACTTGGCACAGAAATGACAAAATATTTTTTTTTGCTGATGCTGAAAATTCTCAGACTTTAATATACAAAATATAATCCTTAGTTTTGGGATTTAGGTAGGCTATAACCCCAGGATTTCTTTTTTTTTTTCCTCCTTTTTCTGAAGCCAGCAGTTCTGCCTTGTGTCAGCCTCATGTTGTCACTCTGCTCCCTGCCAGTCTTGCTCAGCAAGCATGTGGTCTAGCTATGTGACTAGAGCCATGCTCCTGCCTTTGCCTCCTCACAAAAAGGGATTTGCAACAATCTGAAGTGGAAATACTACTTTTCAGCATGAGAACTCCACTTGCTTATTGGAATCTTACGTTCACATATATTTCTCTTTTATGCATAAGTGAAACTGGAAGAAAATAACATTTGAGAAGTGCTCATAACCAGCTGGGGAACAACTCCTGAGAAAATTGTTATGCAGTGGTTAGTGAATTACCTTTCACAGAGTGGCAGCAGCTAAATTATCAATATCCAGCAAGTGGCCGTCTTGATTACAGTAAAACCTAAAGGCAATACAGCCTCTTCTTCAAGGGAAGAACCAAGTGCATTGCCATTTGCAGAATAAATTCAGTTATTTCATGTCAAGCCTTTGATTTCTACATGCTTTTTTTGGACTTCGAAGGTCAAGCTATACATCAAAACCTGTGTTCCTCAAACTCTTCTCTGCCTCAAAGAGAAGAAGACTTAAACCATGATAGTAAAGGGGGAAATAATGTGAAAATTGATATGAAAAACCTGCATAACCAGCCATATTGTTCTAGGTTGACCTCAGGGATTCAGCAAAAGTCAAGACTAAGCTTCGGTTTTCATGAATCCAGAGATGGAGCAACATTAACCAAAGAAAAACAAAAGCCAACCCAAAAGATCATCAAATCCAAGAACTAAACCACATCTTTGTTGCACTTGTCTACAAAGTCTCATTTAATCTGTCTCAACCATCACACCTAAGTTTTCACTATTTATAGGGTAGTCACATTCCAATCTCTATTTATTGTTTCATTATAACACATTTCAAGACACAAGATCTCAAGGTTGTGGCTGACTCCTTATGACGTGAAAACATTTCACTTACTTTAATAACACAGCCTCAAGCTTAGCACTGTCAGCAGAAGCCTTCATAAGATTCCCTGCTATTTAGTCATTCCATTACGTTGGATTTTTTGGGAGAGTTTGGGCAAGAAAATCTCTGCGACAGAAAGTCAGCTTGAAGTTTTCCAAACACCTTTCTCTTCTCACTTATCAAAGAAATTTTTAAGAAGTCTTTATTTTATCTAGTGATGGAATTTTCAGACAGGTGATAACTAATTGATTAGATTTGGACCTTGAGTCTTCCCTAACACTAGGGTGCAAAACCCCAAATACCGAATTAGGTGAACACAGCTTCCTGAGAAACAGCTGGCTTACTGGGAAATGAATCTGGGAGACTCAGATTTAAATATGAGTGGGATCAAGCAGAATCATATTAACTCATGTCTAAAAAACAGGTCTGTGCAAGGAAACTACAGATAACTCGAGTTCAGAGTCCACATGAGGAGCTAAAGACATAGGGGAATGAGCCTTTCGGAGGAAGTGCTAGATGAGACAAAACCTCTAAGAACAAAAGCAAATGATGTCTGGATTTTACCACTACCTCAAACCCCACAGGTAGAGTGCAGTTTACTGACATTAAGGAGATGTAACACATTTTCTCTGTGGATTGACAATCACCCTGTGATGAAGCTTGGCATAAATAATATTGGCTTCGTATTTAACTATTTGAATGTTTTTTTCACTAAATGCCTTTGTGGGGTACAGCACAACCTAGTACTCACCAGCCTTCCTTATCTTCCATCTGCAAAGTGGGCTTTGGCATTAGGAAAGAATAGGTAAATCCCAACCTGATTTCCATTTACTGATACAACATCCTTTGAAATCTTGTCATTACTTCAGAATAGAAAATTGAACAAAACAGCAATTTGTTTCTTATGTAGGAGAGAATTCTATCCTACATCAGGTGGCAAGAAGCCAAGCATGTAGCCTAAACTAGTTATCTTGAAATCAGGCACCATTTGCAGACAACTCACCCTTTCCATCATACCATAAGGAGCTTAAATCACTGCTTAGGTATTGCCTTGCAGATGGGCAAATTACTCCTTCCCCACAGTCCCTTCTTTGCACAGTCGTCTTTGTTTTCCTGCCACAGCTGAAATCACAGATCAGTAGTAACAATTTTTTATTTACAATCAATACCTTTCAGATACTGAACTGTATCAGTTTCCGAACTATTTCAATAGAAGTTTTCCCTCTCTCCCCTTTGGGAAGCTGCTGATTTCTTTCAGAAGAAGTATTATGAAGATGTTTTTTATGCCTGTGGAGTGACCTAATCTCTTTTGAGCAGTTTGAAAAAAATTCACATGAAGGCTGCACGTGTGCAATAACTTTATCACTACTCATCATAAAGGTTGAGGCAGTGTACAGCGTTCGCTACTGATGGGAGAGATGGAACCATGTTGGCCTATTGTACCAACAATCTGTGAGATTGAATGCAGTAGTAAATCAGAGTTATAACAAGTGACCAGAAAAAGCATCTTTGCAGCTGGTCTTTTGTGCCTACACTTTTTATTTTTTTTACAGAGTCAGAGAGAAAGCAGCTCAAAACATGCTCAGAATTGCTTTCAGAAGGCCTATGAAAGAATCTCAATTCAGACACACATTGGATTTCCTTGCTGTCCCAAATATTAGTTCACATTCAGTGCTGCACAGTGTTTGGAGCTGGTTCTACCTCCTTCAAAAAACAATAAGCAATAACCCTCCAGCATGACTCCAGTGGATTTAACAACTCATGGAGATCTTCATGGCAGCTCAACTTTCCAATACAGACATCAAGAGATGCAGTAATAGAAAACCTGCAACACGAAATGCCATGTTCAAACCAATAAATAAACAAAACAGAGTCACCAGATGCCAATTCAGAGGAGAAATTCCCATAGAAAGAGAAACAGTGGGAAGCAAACCAGAAAAAGGTTGGCACAAGAACTCAATTAATAACCTTTGTAAAGCCCTCTGTGCACACAAAGACTGTACTTTTTGGTTCAGTCTGAAAAGGATTTCTTTACAGATTTCAACAGTGCAGGTGCAGATAAGTATACAGAAGGCCAGGCACAAGGACAGGTACTTGTGGAGTGACCAGAGATTGGTTCAGCCTCTGGTTATTAAGTCAGCATGAGTTTCATGCTTACGCTATGTATGGGAATCCCATCACAGGGATCTGAAGTCTACATATCCCACAAACCTTCACAAGCCTGCATTGTTCCTGGGGTGGAGATGAGTAAGAGCACTTAGCTTGAAATTTACCCTGCAGCCTAATGCATTACAAATGCTTTTCTAGTAGTAGATGATGGCTTGACGCAGTTATCATCTTTGCTGAACTTTAGAGCTGGAGCCTGAACTATTTTCATATGCCAAAGAACTAACAGGAGAAGTTCTGAGCAAAATATTTTGGGCCAGGACAAACTCCAGCCAAGCCACTGGTTTTCCTTTACACGTTACAAGATCAGATGAGGTACAATACAAACTTTAAAGGGGGAGTTTCATAATCCTTAAACGTTCTACATAATCTCAGCAGTGGAATTTACTATAGACAAAAAGCCTCTGTATGAGACAAATGTCAAAGTGAGAAAAGAGCTAAGAAAAGATAATAGTTTGCTTTTAATAGCATGCTGGCTCTTCATCACAAGGCAAATGTCTAGCTAGAGATTCACTTGTAATACAACAATAGTTTGCAAAAATGAATGTAACAGCATTGTTAATGCTGAGCTACTGTTACATTCTTAAGCATGCATGGCTTACTTTTAACAGAATGCTTCAGTTCACATTTATTATACAGAAAACTGCAATACATTGAAATACCATTAAAAAAATTCAAACATCTTGAGAAACATTCAGTATGTCAGTAACTCACAGGATTTTCAAAACTCACTTTCAACAGAATACAGACTCTTCCAGTAAGGCAAGAATGACCTCCCCCCTCCTCACCTACCTTTTAAAAATAATTTGTCCGTATGAGAGTTGAAGTAAAAGGAAGAATTTCATAACCATTCCTAAGAATATATGAAAAACATCTAAAGCAATCTCATTTAATCTTCACGTGCATCCAGAGAACATATATTTCACTGGGTAGGAAAGATGAAGATATTGTCAATCAATGTTTAACAGCCTACTGTTTACTCAAGGCAGACAGAGGGAGCTGTTGCTATTCAAACTAGGGATGATGGCCTCAGACAGACACATGATACGTAATAAAAGTAGTTTGAAAAATGATTGGCACTGGAAACCTCATTTACTAAGGTCAAAGAGAAAATACATCTGTAATTCCCCTCCTCCCTCCCCCTCCCCCCCCCCCCATTTGGTTATATAGCTTTCATTATCTCTTGTTAAAAAAAAAACAAAAAACACACCAACATTAATGCAAAAGTGTTACGTAACATAACAAGATAGTTTTTCAAGGCCACGTCAATTACAGCCCTTTAACAAAGCCAAGCAGATTTGAAAGTGTTTATCCCCAGATGTGCCTTACACCAGCAAAAGCCTGCACTCAGCAAGTACCGATAGAGCGGGCTGCCCACTGATAGGACTGAAAGGGGCAGCTCCAGTCCTGGCTTGAAGCACCACAGACCTGGCTCCAGCTTGACTGTGTCAGGCTGGCCACATGTCCTTGGCCAAGTCATGTCTGTCTGAAGCCTGGATTACTGACATCTTCTAGTAGCAATTATTTAGATCAAGTCAGTGTAGATCTTGAGCCCACTACACCCTTCCAGTAGTGTAGATAAAAGACTAGTGTTCCCAAGCAAGAGATTTTTATCTTGAACATCAACTATTAATGAATATTTAATGTGTCCATTAACTTGGCTAAATCTTCTGAGGTTATTCTAACACTCTTCGCAGCACCCTGTGACAGTGAGGTCCACAGGCTAATTAAGAATAACAAAGGACAAAGTTGAAAACTCTCCACCCAATAACTTCACTTGCTGCCTTACTTTCTTTCTTGTGGGAAGCTTACTCTCCACTCCACATCACTCATGAGGAAGGCGAAACTCAAGTAGATGAACAAAGACAGAGTGCAGCTAAAAGCCATGGCACTGACCACTAGCATCACTACTATCCTCCTTGGACAAGAGTCCACCAGACATCCAAGGAGAGAGCCAAAGCCTCAGAGACACAGCCAGCAGACACCAATTAAAGTTACTAAACCACACAGCTGCTCGAAGTGTTTAGCCATGAGTAGGCTAGGCATATAATTGACCGGTTTTGTTGCATTTCTTTGCTTTTGCTTTCTATGAGCTTCATATAATTCATTAACAGATTCCCCTATGCAGCACAGCACTGCCCTTGGCCCCCAAAACTGATGGGACTAGCAACAATTAACTTAAAATGGATATGAGAAAACCTTTCATTAGCAGAGTCTAAAGCAATAGCCTGAAACCCTCTTAAAGGAGGGATCTGAACCATGAACAGGAAATTTTAGGAATGCAGAAAACACACTGAGTTATTAGCCTGCTATATTACTTTTATTGTCAAGAGCACTGTGTTGTATGGAGTTCAATATTCACTGGGAAAAAAAAAAAAAAAAAAAAAAAAAAAAAAACCCAACAATTGATGGCATTTTAACTAGAGCTGAATGAAATAACCAATAAAACAACAAAGCACAGAGAACAAGTGAGATTTTCTGATCCACTACCAGCACCATGCCCTTGGTAGGCTGCACTCAGCTTTGCTGCTAGTAACAGTACAATAGGAGGGCAGAACTTGTCCATCATATCTAGCAGACACCCTTTCAAAGATAATTAAAGATACCATTTATTCCTTTTTTCCATGTCTCAGCTTTAAAAGAGACATATCCTTGTTATTAAACAGGGACCGTTATTGAATGCTCCTGTGGGATTTAATGACTGATATCTACTCAGTATCAGAGCACAGGCTTCCCACAGGGTACTTCATGCTAAAGTCCTACAGGTGGGATTTCCCCAAGTACTCAGTATAGATTAAGCCCCAATTTGCAGCTTGCAGCAGCCTCCTACCTAGGAGAGTTCAGAAACGCAACACACTAACTTCTACCTCCCACCTTTACCATTTTTTTCCCCCTCTCTAGTGTCACAGTTCCATCAATGCCAGTAAAGTTGTTAAATCCCATCTCATGTAAGTATCAGAGAGACATGCATCATTATTCTTCTGAGCAAAGCCTGAAGGTATCCACTCCACAGGGGGAATGTGATTTCAGACTACAGTCCAAAATTGTACTTTCTATCTTGTTTAATACTTTGATTTATATCCTCATTAGCATGGGAGAATAGCTCCTATTAAAACTATTAAAGATAATTTTAGCAATAATATCAAAGGATGAGTAGGTGTAATGATAGCACTAATGATAAAAATTAATAACCATTCATTATTTTTAATCGTATGTACAGTTGAAATGAATATTCAAGAAAATAAACACAACATTTTAATATGAGCCAAAAACTGAAGGGAAGTAAAACCACTATGAATTATACTCCAAATTATCAGTTGTCCACTGACAAAATGTATTATGCTACACTTTTACAGTCATGAAAGTATTCTTCAGGAGACCACACATCTGGGCGCCACCAAGCAAATGTCAGTTCACCTCTCACGCCTGCATCCTGTGAGACTCATTTTGACACACTGGGCATTTGGCATCTTAATTCCAGGTATGTGAGGGAACACTGGATGAGGACATTACTGTTAATGTAGAAAAGCACCAATTATAACATTTATTTCCTTAGTATCTACATCTGTTCCCTTATCACCGCACTGGCCGTGTCCTTTTAGATTCATTAGCTCTTAAGCACTGCACCATTTCTCATAGGGACAGCACTACGGCCAATGATTCTATGGACTTCAGCAACTACATATTGTGGCTTCAAGATTGGCTGTCAGCACAAGCAACTAAGAGAAACCCTTGCATGACTTCGCAGTGTGTGAAACTCACTTCCAGAAAACAACAAGCTACAGTACTTCCCAACCCACTTCAACAATTTGAAAACACAACTTATGTTAAACGCTGCCTCCAAAGTACATACTTGATGATATTTGCACGCCTTCAAGTCTTCAAGGGGAGAAAGATTTGGTCTTTTCTTGGAAGGATGACTGTCATTCAGGTTTTCTTTAAGGGCAAAGGGGCAAGGGGTAAAACCAAACAAGAAATAGAACTCCTAACTGATCGAGTTATTTTCAACAATAGAACTGCAATTTTGTCTTTCATTACAGGTCACCTTAAAGGTTTTGCAAAAGCCTTTGCTAGACATTAAATCTCCCAGTGAAAGGTACAAAAGTCATTTGAAATTTGAAGTGATTTTATCTTAAGAATCAAATGTAAGAGCTTCTGACAGCAGCAAAGCTGTGTTCATGTCATCTGAAACACGTCCTATCTTAATTGTGAAATAGCTGATACTGCTTTTGGTCTGCAGACAGGTTATGTATTTAAAGTTTTACTTCTCTGAAGTTTCAATAACTGCCCTATGACCTCAATAAAGAGGGCTTTTTCAAAAAGGATGCACCAACATTATTCCTAGACAAGGTTCTTGGACAGTTAGAAAAATAGTGCCGACAAAAGGCTACCTAAAATGATCGCTGCATGTTCATAGAACTCCATCTCCAGCTGATAAATTGAAGTCCCACACACTAATTGTCACCTTGGTGACTGGTTATGACATGCAAACATTTCCATGCTTGACCAAGGCTGCCACAAGTACACCCTGCTCCTGCAATAGGAATTGTGAAAATAGTTCCCAAAATCACAAGTCACTTAGGACGTTAAAAAGAACAACTTAGAACTAATTTCCATCAACCTGTCAGCCTGTATTACTTTACCCGGTTCAGAGAAACAGAGTTGCCCACATCTCCCTCCAGATTTTTTTTTTAAAGCCACACAGAGCATTTTGCTGCCACAGCGAGCATGCACCAGCAACCAGGCTGCTCCATGTCAGTATTAGTTTTTGGTCAGAAAAAAAGAACCAAAAAAACCAAATAACAAACAAACAAACCCAAAACAATTGAAGTGCCAAAGGAAAACAATAATAAGAAAAGCCTCCTACCTTTTGGAGTAGTTCACATTTGCATTCCACCAGAAGGATGACCGTTCAGCCTCACACACCTGTGGATCTGGCACACAGCAGGTTTTTCAGGGTAGCAATCATGAGATCTGTGCCCTGAGGGAACAAGTCTTTATAAACAATTTGGAGGGGAAAAAAAATAAAAACATAAAAATATCAGAAACAGGAATGATGACGTAAGTTCTATTCCATCTCCTCAGAAACAAAGGCACTGTTGGTTGAGCAGTTGCATCACTAAGCACGTAACTCTTTTCCAATGCATACATAGCGGATTTGTATTTTGTGCCCTTGTCAATTCCTCTCCCCATCTGCCCAAACTGTGAGCCATGTTAGTTCATGTGGGGGATGGCAGCATCTTGCTGTGCAGGGATGCCTGTTGCCTGCAACAACACTCTTCTCAATATGATCCCCAGAAGACAACTCAAAGCAAAAGATAAGGTATTGGGGTCACAGCTGAAATACCACTGCTCCATACACAGGTGATACACTAAGTTAACTTCAGGAGCTAACATATTATTGTCACTAAGCATTTAATAATTGCTATGGAGACAGAGAGATGAACTGCATTTAACCACAATCTCCACTTCCCCCAGGCCTTAGTCCCTCAGACGTTTTGGGATGCTGGAAGATTCAAGAGCACTGCACATCTGCAACCAGACAATGGCCTTCTGCCATTTTGACTTAAAACTCCAGGCCAGCTGCAATTAAATTAAAAGCAAACAAAACCAAAACAAACTCAAGAACAAGCACCCCCCAAATATCAAACTCACAGACAAGCACTACTGAGCTGAAAAGAAAAGGCTCAGCCAAAGACCATACATACAAAAAGCAAGTAGAAAGTGATGAAACTGAGATACTCAGGAAAATATACCAAGCTCACAATGATCAACCTACACAGTGTAGGAGAGGAAACAAATATCTCTCAGAGTGTAAATGGAGGTCACAGTGGTGAGTACTGGGTGTGTGAACTGGGAGCACAGGTCTGCAGCTGCTGAAACTCCACAGCTCCCAGGACAGCTCTCAGGAAAGGAGGGAACTCTCCAGCCCACATTGTATGGATGAGGAAATACTTAATTACAGTTGCTTTTATTCTGTTGTTGTTTTCTTCCTCAGAAAAATTTCAGTTCCCAGATAGGAAGGCATTACATTGCTGCTGTCACTGGCTAGCCTCATGCCATTTCAAGCACCCTCAGATAAAGAGCAGCTTTCCTCTCCGTTGACTGACCCCTGACTGGAAACAGTGGCTGGAGGGAGAGGTAGTGAGTAAATCTCATGTGGTGACTGTGAGGCTTTAGTGGCCTTCAGCACTGAGGAGGTGAATGCCTGAGCAGCACCCCGAGAGCTGTTTTGTTTCAGTAGTGCCAAACTCATATTTGTTCAGCTGTGTCTGACCAGGAGATTTGTTTTTACCTCTAGCTTCTGTTTGCTTTGGTTTCTTCTGCTTTATTAGCATTTCTTGGATGTTAGTTTTGACTTCTCTTGCCATTTTTCTGACCATGAGGGTCTCCGAGTGCTTTCCGTGCAGTGACTTCCAGAGAGCAGGAGGGTGACCGCTGCCTCTGCACATGTCCTCACACAGGCCATGACTGAGCTCCTCCAGCAATGGCCAGGCCTTTCTGAGTGGTGCCCTAGGAGAAGTAATCACTGTATCACAATGATTGCTATTCTGGGACAGGCCCATGTGGAAATGGGTGCGGATGCAGACTGGACACTTCCAGGCACCCACAGCCAGAGACTTGCTCAGAGCATGGTAATTCCTGCTCTTAACATCTGAGCCAAGTTTTATTTTTTCAATATTTATAACTAATTAGTTCAATTTATAATTTTATTTAATCAATAAACCACTTATTATTTATACTATTTAAAATATATTAATTCTCAAGTTGTGAGAGTGACTCATTCACAACCTTTCAAAGCCCAGACTGACATAATGAGCAGAAGCTTCAATTAGCTTTTGCTGGAGCTGCAAACTCTCTGTAGCATCCAAGGTGGGTGTGGGGCTCGCTAGAAGCAGTGCAGCAGCTGCCAGCATCCTCTGCACAAGGCAGCCTGGCTTTATCCTCAGGGATTAACCAAACTCCCCATGGCTCTCTCTAGAGCAGACATCACCTTCTTTCTTTGAGGAGAATCAGAAATGATGCAGCCTACCACCTGCACACATGAATCCTGCTCAGATCCCCACGGAGGGCCACAGGGAGCATGCTAACAGCCCCAGTGCCCTGCTTGATAAACCCTGAACCTAGGACCAAAATGGCTCTTTCATCCCTGAAGAGAAAGACACTTTTCAAAATGGAAATTACATTATCAATTTCACATTATATTTATATAATATTTGCTGTATTTATTAACTAATTACTAGTTGATTATTAATCAGTCAACATTTGGAAACTAACAATTCATTACTAAATATTTGTAAATTGATTACTTGACACGCACTCAATTTTAAACTATGATACTTACGTTCAAGTGATGACGGGGACTGATTTACAACTGTGTTAAGAGCCCCCTGGAGCTGCAGCAAGCTGTTGCTGCACTCCCAGTCCCATGCAGGTGGCAGAGCTGGCAGTGCAGCCCTGCAGCCCTTACCCTCAACATTGGCAGGATATGGCTTTGGATAAGAAAGCCAAAGAGCTTTGTACCTAGGCGCTGCTCAGGTGTGGCTATGGTATCTGAGGATTTTGCTCCTGCCAGAGGTGGTGCCACAGACTGATTCTGCCACACAACTGGTGGCTCAATCCAGAGCCATTGCGAAAGAAAAAAAAAAAACCCTAATCCAATAACCCAACCCAAAAAAGCCTAAAAATTTCACAGAATCATAAAGTGGCTTAGGTTGGAAGGAACCTTAAAGCCCATCCAGTTCCTCTCCCTGGCATGGGCTGGTTGCTACCAAGGACCTCATCCAACCCAGCCTTTACCATCTCCGGGGATGGGGCACCCTCAGCTTCTTTAGGCAAATCAGGAGGAATGAGTGGTGTGTTCACTATTTATATATATTTTATATGTACACACTTCTCAGTATGATTTCCTAATATCCTTAAAAATAGTAAAATGGTGAATTAGTAAAGCAGAATGGAGAGGCAGTAACCTTGTGAACTAAAGGTTATCCATTATTCTTTAGTAACAGTAACTTGCAGTTTCAAGTTTCAAAAACAAAAATGTTCATTTAAACTAAGACTAAGGCACTGTAGAATATTTGGGCACCTATCAACATAATGTAGAAACTTTACAGAGCTGTAAGCTGTAATGAATGTTATCCAAATTGCTACTGTTAAAGACAGGAGGAAGTTCTACAGCTTTTTTTTTTTTTTTTTTTAAACATGGATAACTGAGAGATGGGGAAGCTCAATATGAGTAGAATACATCAAAGCTGCTGTGAAAACAGAGATCAGTAATGCCAGCCTGCTGCAAAGGCTAATCACAAAAACAAGGACCAAAAACAGCTGAGAAAGCACTGTTAAAAAGCAGGAAAAGCCTGCCAGTTCAAGAAACAAATACTATCCCCCACTGAAGAAACCAACTAGAAAGCAGAATAAGAGGACTGTCCCAGTTATGAAGTAATTGACAATACTGGAAAAAAATTCATACTTAAGGAATAGATGGTCTTAAGAAGTGATTCTGTCTCTAGCAATTGCCAGGAAAATGCTACAGAATCAAGTACCTTAGTGGGCTTGGTAGGGCTCCCTGGTTTGTTGTACAGGGTGATCTTTCTAAACGAGAAGAGCTTAAAAATACAGCTGACGCTGGTGCTGGGATTGCTCATTTCAGTTATCTTCTTTCAAGCAAGTATGCTTAAGTATAGGAAAAATCTCAAGGGATGGAATAATGAATAGTAAAATGTTAATTCTTCCAGAGGGGAAGTAACATTGAGGAAAGATGCCATAGATTAGTAGAGGATAATCACAGTAACTGAGGCCTAACTGTTACATTCCACATTTCCGGAAGTTAACACCATGGTGCATTACTGTAAATTTTATGTTGAAAGCTTCCCTGTAAAGAAAAAATATGGTAAAATCTATGACTAAATGTAACAGCTACAACTTTAAGCTATGAACTTTACCTCTTACTTGTAGGCAAGAGATGGAACCAAGAAAGAACATACTAACAATCCGGTGAACAGCCCCTTGAAAAGAATAGGCAATAAATTGGATAAAAAAGAAAAGAATCTGACTAGGCTGTTAGCATCAGGCTCCCATGGAGGAACAAGTTCTAGCCAAGGTGATCACTAACAGGAGTTTTATGTTAATTTTTAAATCTTTCATAAATATCACAGAATAGCAAGAAATTCGTTCTACCCCACAGACAGTGATAGCTACTTGCTGCCTAATTTGCCTTGATCACTTTCTGTTACAAATGTTTATGAGAAGAAAAAGGTGCAATACGTAGCTCATTTCCTATAATTTTGTTAATGACCACAAGAAAATAAAGAACCCAAGTGGCACAGATTCAAAGTGCCTCTTCAGTCCAAGCAAGAGAAATCCTGTTTCTCCTATTGCTAAATGTGATCAGAATGACCTGATTATGAATATATTTATGTACAAAGTGTATATATAAGTATATACAGATATAATTACATATATTTGCAAATGATATTGCAGTTGTAAGAAACAAGTGATTCAATTAAGTCCAAATGTTTCCCACATGCAATCTGGCGAAGTATAATTTGTTATCATTAAGCTATCTCTACAACTTCAGAAATGAGAACTATACTTTCACGTCTCGCAGAAAACCATTACAGAAATTAATGGTCCTTGAAGAGGTAAAAAGCAGGTTAAAAAACAACAGCAAACAAAACACAGTACTTGGTAGACACCAGCATTTCCTTCATTAGAGATGTCAAAACACTGAATATGTACGATGTAGATACACGCCAATTTGGAAAGCCATGGAAAGGTTTGTTATTAACTGATTAAGCAAGTAATTGTAAAAATAGGCATTTACTGTATTACTTTCTGGAAGGCTAGTTACTTTACTACTGAAATCCTTTGAAGTAAATCTGTAAAAAATATAGTGTGTTGCCTTAGCATTAAGTCCACACTTCAAAATTGTCACTCACATCATCCCTGCAGTACAACAAAATCCAGTAGATTCATAGAATCACAGGGTTGGAATTGACTTTAAAGATCACCCAGTTCCAATCCCACTGCCATAGGTTGGTTGCCACCCAGCAGATCAGGCTGCCCAGGGCCCCATCCAACCTAGCCTTGGGCACTCCTGTGTATAAGGCATCCAAATCTTCTCTGGGCAGCCTGTACCAGCACCTCATCACCCTCTGAGTAAATAATTGTTTCCTTATATCTAATCTAAACCTATCCTATTCTACTTTAAATCCACTCCCTCTTTTCCTATTGCTATCCACCCTTTACCTGTTTAAAAAGTCATTCTCTCTCCTGCTTATTAACTCTTCTCATTTTCTTCTTCCAATTCTTAGCTGATACAGAGTTATCCGTTTATACTAAGGAGCAAATAGAGCTTAGGAAATACACTAGTAGTTAACAGTCATTTATGTAGCCAGTAAGTACTTCTCAGTAATGCACCTGCAGAAAGCTTAACAATTAGTTCTGCAACTTCCATGCTGATGAGCATGCTCCCTCCAATCAGCACTAGTATCATTGCAGGTGAGAGACTGACAAAGAGTTTGAGCAGACCCTGTTGAAACCAAGATGTTTTTCAGATATCTCAGGACTTGGTTTTCAGTTGAAAAAGATGTTTAACAGCACGTGTTCAGTTCTGTTTTGTGTATATGTTCCCTGATTTATAGGAAATCTGATATCAGAATGCTATAGTTCGAGAAATCTGACTGTAGACTGAAAATGCTTTTAAGCCAAAACTGTTCTCCTGCAGCACAAGTTTTCTGCATTTGAGGTACTGAGTCCCAAATATTTCTAGAATTCAAATGTGGAGAAACAATGAACCTGATAAAAAATCCCGTGTAAATCGTACCAAGCTTCTACCTAACATGGCTTCACTTACGGAGTTTGCAGGTAGCACTTGATGATGAAATGAAGCAGAAAGTGCGGGTCTGAAGAAGCTTTTTTATAGGATGTAAATAAACTAGAAGAAAGTGGAAACAAACAATAAGAAACAAAACAAAAAGTCTTTATTCACATAATACACATTTTGATTATAGTAAAGGCACTAAGAATGAAAATTTCTATAGCCAGCTTGCTCAGGGGCTTCCTCCAGCTTTTTGCACAGCAGGATCAGGATGTATGTACAAATTGCAGCCTTCAAATTATCAAGAACAGACAAATCTCTAAAGCTTTTTCAAACAGAAATGTTTCTCAAGTTCATTTGAGAAAAAGAAGCATTAAGAGTATTTCAAAACAGTCTGTTATTAGAATAATTGAATTCCATTTTGTACAGCAGCCCAGTGAGTGCTAGTGTGCCAGGATCTTATCTTAGAGAAAAAAACATCCATGGAAGCTCAAAGGGAGCATCACCTCCCTAGGAAGACTAAGGGCCTGGAGAACTGGACGTAGGCACAAACTTTTTTCTCAAGTACTTTGCTTTAGTGGCCTGGTATACAATTAAAAGGTGTACAGAGGTTAGGCTAAGTAGGATTATCACAGTGGAAAGATAATAAATGAAAAAATGCTCCTGATATTCTAGGCTTACAATAAATTCCATGAGGACCAATCTCCAGAAAAAGATCATTCCTCAGTGGCAGTCAGCACTTAAATGGGGTCTAGGAGAGGTGGAGTCAGGCTCCATCCTTCTGGTAGCACAGGTGAATTGCCTTCACCTGTCCTCCGGCAGCTGACTCATTGCCTGCCTCAGGTGGTTGATCAGAGGTTCAGGCTGTGATCAACAGTTCCCATACGCTGGGAAAACTAAAAGGTGTCTTCAGGGAGAAGTTTATGGGAGAGAGCAAACAACATATTTAGGTCAAGAGCCCCAGAAAACGTTCTCCAACTGGACTTCTCAATTCTCCTCTCACTTGGGTTATGGTCAACCAGATGTTCCCTTCCTTAAAGCACTTTTAAAATCAATATTTCAACTCTGAATTGAAAGTCATCCATTCTGTCAAATCATGTCTATCACCTTGTCTTTATATGAGCTTTTTGTGGGCCAGACCAGTCCTAGCAAGATTTGTTTACTTATTTTTGCTATCTTAAAATAATACTTCCAAACTCAAGGAGTTACTCATAGCCTAAGTTTGAATGTTTATACAAACCATACAAATTATTACGTGTCTCTTTTCATTGCAGGGGAGTTGGACCACCTTTAAGGGTATCTTCCAACTTCAACAATTATATGATTCTATTAGGCTTAGGTATTCCTCCTGAATGTACCTGTGACTATCCTGCTGTGTTTCCTGTGTTTTGTAAAAATCTGCACAACTCCAGTTTAGCACTTGTGTATGCCAACAAACTCATTACATGAAGGACTCAAAATTAGGTTATTCCATGCTTGCTCCATGGAGCTGACAGTCTCAGAGACGCAGTAATAGGAACAAGTCTGTCTGTAATTCAGAGGAAAGAGGCTACTGTAAATACTGATGTTGAATAATCAAATAATATTTTCATCAATAACTGTATGCTATAAATCATATATGCTATAAATCATATAAGTCATCAATTCACCACTAAGTGAGAAAAGACAATGGGGGAAAAAGAATAAGCCAAATGCATACAGATACAGGAGAAATATCAAATTACTGACTTGTACTTTCTTCTTCTTCCAAATAAAAATAGGAAAGTTACAGAAGATCCTGAGCTACTGGGAAAGGAATCCCCCAGGATGCATGCAACATGTGTCATACAAGGAGAAATAAAAACAGGGAAGCACAGATAAAGGACGTTATTATAATGCTTAATGTAAATGTTCCCTTTGTACTCTGTGATTTCGTGAGATGTCCCAACTAATGCTCCAGGTATACTGCAGACAGAGGATTAAGGTGGTGCCTGTGTTCTGTATCTGACCAAGCAGCAGGCCGTATATCCCTAAAGAACATTTTTCTCCCGCAGGTCATATTTCCTACCTGCTTTGCATATGATGCACATGATGCATAATGAAATTCTACACAATTTCTATGAGGAACTATTTCTATGCATGGAGTGAGAGAACTGCAAAGCACCACATTTGTAGATGCCCACCTTCTTGTTGACACTTCTCTTACAAACAGGAACCAATTACATATTTTGAGAAACTCAAGTCAGGATCTAACTCTTCTACTATGTTCACTTAACAAAGGGACCACTGATTACTGCATAATTAGATAGGTGATCTAAGCTACCAATTTTTTTTTTTTCTTTTTGTGCAGCACTTGAAAATTCTTTAATGATTTTGTATGTAACATGACATAGAAGAAATTTATCACATTTTTTCTTTATAGAGGGATGCTTGTGTGGCTTCTGGCTTACAAAGGCAATTGTTTTCTGGCTTGAGACCTGAACTGGATATTGAGATTTGATGACACATTTCTGGAAAAAGTGTATGACTTGCAGGTTGTTACTGCAGCATAATTCCCAAAGTCAAGGGGATTCCCCTATTAGCAAAACCTGCATTCTTCTCTGATGTACACCATCTATGGACTTCCTGTCAAAGACATGGAATTATGTTCTTGAAAGGGCTTGCATTACTGATACTATTTCTCCTAATGATTTAAGCATTTAAATTCCATTTCTGAAGCAAGGTGAGCCAGATTCTGGGAAGTATTTTGTAATCCAGAGTTAAAAGTAGCCCAGCAGAGGGACTATCAAAACAACTCATAAATGCTACAAAATCTGCACTGTGGGGCCATTCTGGGGAAACGCATGTGGCAACAGCCTAGAGATCTCTTCAGTTTTCCTGCGCAGTTCCTGTGCAAGGAAGGGAAGGTGTTTGAATATAGGCATTCAAATATAAACTTAATTTCAAAGCACTGTTTTTTTAAAAATACAGTCTTCCAGCAGTAAGATATGATTATGATTTCAAAGTGGGAGGAGAAAGGAGATTTTGAGATTTCACTTTCTTGTTTGTTTAACAAAAACATATAAACTTTCATGCAAAATAGAAATGAAAATGAATTCCACACAATTGGAATACTACAATTGAGGGCTACAGCTGTTTTAGAAGGCAGAGGAGGAAGTGCAGGAGAGTTGCCCTCTATATTGAGAAGGGGATGGACTGCAAAAAGCTGCCCCTGAGAAGCAACTATGAACAGGTTGAGGGCTTGTAGGTTAAGATTACGGACCAGACCAATAAAGGGCATCTGGTAGTTGGGTTCTACTAGCAGCCTATACTGCCAGGTGAAGGGGAGCCTGTTGATGAGGTCTTCTTTCTTCAGCTGCAAGAGGAATTGCGCTTGCAGGCCCTAGCACAGGCTGCTCAGAGAGGCTGTGGTTGCCCCATCCCTGGAGGCACTAAATGTCAGGTTGGAAGGGGCCCTGGGCAATCTGATTTAGCAGATGGCAACTCTGCTCACAGCCTGGGAGGTCGATACTAGAGGATTTTTAATGTCCCTTCCAACCTAAGCGATTCTATCTTCTACAGTTACAAAACACTTCAGCATCCATTACAGTTTTAGTCCTATACTGAGGAGTCTGAATCTTCAAGAGCGTTTGACACCTGTGGCTTCTTTGAAGCCAGTGAAGAAGATTCTGCTACTGTTATTTTTGGCATGTACTCAGAGAACTTTCTTGTGCAGGACGAATCACCATGCATGCCACCTCTACAAGATCTTAGCTAAAATACTGTCATTCATACCAGTGCAGAGACTGCCAGAGGAGCTGCTGAGGAACTGATGAGCATAGCATGTGCAGTGCGTAGTTTTCCTATTGCATTCTTCTGTGCAGGATTGAGTGCTGTTATAAAGCACAGAAAGAGAACAGTTGGACAGCGCTGGATTCCTCTCATTAAAGACAGATGAAAAGCAAAGCACATTATAATCTGCCTGTCTATGACATTGACATGGTAACAAGAAGGTTGACTGCTGTGTTTTTGCGGAGAAACCCATGAAGCAGCACAAATGACTGAAGCACATGTAATTGCCTAAAAGGTTGCAGATACTCCAGGAAGGTGACAGATTCCCTTTCTGCTGTTGTCACCTTGCCCTTACTGCGTGCTGGGGTAAATGACAAGAAGCAGAGACATATCACCTGCAATCACAGACCATATTGTGTACTCCTTGAACAAGATTCCTTACAAAGGAATTTCCCTCTTTTGCCAAGATAAGCATGCAAGCCAAATCTTCATTTTCATTCTAAAAAGCTTGACATCTGACCCCAGTGAAAATTTAACTTTTTTTTTTCAAGTTATGCTGAACTGCATAATGGGGGACACACTGTCAAAAATTGTCAAAGAGATTGGGAAAAAAAGCAAAAATGACTGCAAAGAAAGAGGACAGAAAGCACCAGGAGCGTGAGAGGTTATAGGACTCTGTCCCCTGTCCTGCAGAGCAGGATGAGGTGACCTTAACCCTCAGAAGATTCAGACAGCTTAGAGAAATGCAGTGCAGATGTCTGAAAATCCCTGAAATTCAAGAAGCAGCTCTGCCCATTTATCAAACAGGTAAACACTACAAATAATCCCAGATCTAGCTGCATGAAGTTAGGCTTCCCTTTCCAGACAAGGATTCCTGCTAGGAGAATTTGCCCTAATTTACTGAACTGTAGCCACGTGACTAAACTGTGCTTCAAAACAATTCTTCCTGTTCAGATGAGCAGACCAAACTTGGGTGAGGTGTCTACTCACGGAGGCTGATGAAACATATTTCTAGTCAACCAAGCCTGACCAGTTGTTGACCATAAAGGCTATAAAAGGGTATAAAACTGAAAGACTCTATTAAACAAATGTCAACAGGTGCTAGAAATGAAGTGAGTTTGGGCTGTTTGTGAGCCGAGATGTCTGGGTCTACACATAAGTCAGCATGGGTATGTAGTGGAGGGCAACTAATCTGCTGAACTACAAGTGGAC